AGGATAATTGCTGGAATGAAAGAAAAAAAGATTGCCGAGAATCGTTTCTGTTATCCGGTTGGCAATTATTATGGCGAGCGCGACGGGAAACGAAGAAGTTTCCTGATCTGAAATCGCGATGATAGGCGTTAGCTCAGTAAGACGGTAATTGGAATTATCGAGCTTGTCTATCAATGACCGATGAAATAAAGAGGAATAAAAATCAGTGGATTGAGATAGTTTTACATACACATAAAATTGTGATAAACTATGATTTAAATCAATTTTAATGGCTTTAACACCACGTGATTTTTATTTGCAGTTAACAACTTACATAATTTTTATAATTATTAACCTAATATAATTATAAACATAATATAAAATGAAATATATGTATAATTTATATTTTTTGTGCAATATCTTTTATAAGGTCGATATATCTAAAAAATTAAAGTAATAATATATTATTATTATTATTATATTATGGATTTACTCAGTTAGATTTACAATTTAGAGTCTTTCAACGTTTAGAATTTCTACATTCTTTAATTCGGCTTTATTCTTATGAAAAACTCTATGAGTTAATAAATTTTATCGTTCATAGTTACATAAAACGCGAAGTTCATGGACTGCAACGAAGCTTCAGTCATTTTCGATGGCAACTTCGCCCGGAGACCGCGTGTTAAGCCGGCTAAACAAAGGCGGATAAAAGGCAGATGTATCTCGGGGAAGTTGGACCCGGTCGATAAACTTGCGTTAAATACGCCGACGACGCGGATTATACCTCGACAATTAGGAAGTTCCTACGGCACAAATGGAACTCTTGTTCGCGTTTAACGTCAAGGCGGATCGCGGAGGTCAACGAGTTTGTCTCTCGAAGCGTTACCGGGAAACATTGTTAGTAAAGTTGCTCGAATGAAAATATAACATTTGAATTATATATATATATATATATACGTTTTGTATATAGGAACTGATTTCGCCATAAATTCTCGTCTCAAGCTTAAGCCCCGAAGTTTGAAAGAGCAGCATGGTAGACTCTGTTTCATACTTAATTGCCTCTCACGATTCAATCTAATTAAAAAAAATTTATATATATATATATATGTACAATATATGTATATAATTAAATCTTAAATTTTTAATCTGTAATGCCAAAATTGTTTAACTTATTTGCCTTCTGGAAAATCCTAAGGATTCTTGAATTTATCATCGTTGTAATATTTTATTGCCTAGACACCATTCTGATTATTGGACACTTAAAAAGATGACCAATCTGTATCTTAATCTTTTATATTTCTTACGTCTGACGATTTTGTCATTTTTACTGTATTACTTGGCTCTTTAAATTTTTATAAGTTTGTTTTCAATTTTTATGTTTATTTTTAGCATAATATCCCGATTTAATTTATTTTTGGTGTCAGTATCCTATATTCTTCTTTCTATTTTCTAATATTATTTTTACTAATCGTCTTTTAATAATTATATTGTATTATTTTGATGTTAATTATGCTTGGCATATCTTCTATTTTACATTTCTCTTATAACTTTGTCGAATAATTTAATTAGAGGCTACAAAAGGTTGTACTTTGTTACTAAGCGAAGCGAAAAGAGTTAATAATCTTCTAAATGTCGCTCCCTCGTTTCGTCGATATTAATATTGAGATTTCTTCAAGGCATCCGATGTTCCGCTTTGAAGAAAACGTATGTTTTTATTCCTGACTGTAGTGTTTTTCCATTATTCCCGATATTAATATTTTTCTCATTCCTGGGCGAAGCACAGGATTAACGATACGACATACACTGAGAATAGATAGATCTCAGCAGAGGAATCTCTTTGCTGTTCATTCATTGTTTTACGTCTGTGACGTACCTTTGTCATGCGCTCTAAGCTCTTCATATTATCTGGTGTTCCACAGTGTAAGAAGATTAGACTCTACGCGCGAACGCAATGGTGAAGCGCGTCAGTAATTATTATTAGCTTTCTTGTTATGCCATCCGTTGTTACGATCACATGTTCACCTCTCAATATCCTCTCGGTATCCCAATTTTGTCAATAAATACAAGTTTCTCTTATTAATTGGTTTGTTGCTGTCGAGCAGACGTTCCGTTCGACAGACTGGTTGGTTGGGAATGTCCTTTGCCTATCTATCAGTGAGCAGGGAGTGGACGAATGTCAACAGGCCTCGCCCGCTGGGGCAAACACTGTTCAAGGCTTTGCCTCGCTCCAGCTTCTGAGCGTCTAACCGCGAGCTTGTTTGATTAGAGACCCGTTAACGCTACTACCTGACGCGAGCATTGCTCCGCTAATATTAAAGTTCGAAGGTTAAGCAATAGCCTCTCGCCGAGGGGAGGCTAGTAGCTACTGCTTATTTCTGCATGCCACGGACGGCGGTGTCTCGATTTATAAGTTTATTAATATCGCGTGCGCCAGTTACGTTGCGATGAGGATAGGTCATGTCGTCCCGTTTAAGATTTCACGCTCGCGTCCGGCACTGTCGGGCTCGGCGGTTCTAACGCTAAAAGAATAGGAAGCTTTTCCTCGTGCGCTCACTTTTGCGCGGCTCGTTTAGATCGACCGATTGCCGCCGGAGGATTATTCGGTCCGGCTTCCAATCGTCTCGGCTGAAGCCTCTATATTAGCGCTCGCTATCGATTTCGTAATTTCCCGTTTAATCGACTAAATTTGTAATAATCGACCGTCGCGACATCGATTATTTTTCGTCTAGGAAACGAAGGGCCGCTGCAAACGCTGCATCAAATCCATTTAGTTCGCAATTGGACGTAGATCAATTCGTTGAATCGAAGATCGAGCTATCTTTATCGGCTTCCGTTGAGAGATTTGCCCTCCGTCGGTTTTACGCGTCTCTCTCTCTCTCTCTCTCTCTCTCTCTCTCTCTCTCTCTCTCTCTCTCTTTCTCTCTCTCTCTCTCTCTCTCTCTCTCT